CTGAAAATGGAGAATCGATGGCTTCACCGATCTATTGTTGTGCTGAAACTCATAACACTTGCTGCTCGGCTCTACTTGCTTGCACAACTAAAAAAAATTGTTTTTTTCAATTTCAAATAATTAGGCTTGAACAACTGAAATAATAAAAATAAACTTTGATAAATAAGCATGGATGTTAGCGAAGACACCTTATCCATGAGCTCTCCAGATTCAGGGAAGTTTTGTAGTTTTTATACTGTTCCAACCTAGCTATAGAGGGGTAGAGAAACAGAAATACAACAAATACAGGAAAATCGAGTTCATACAAAACAGGTGGAATACTACAAACACAGATGATGGAGGCAAAACAGGCTGTAAGCAGCTGTACAGTAGCTTTCTTTGACCAAATACTCTTGAGAAATATAATTACAAATATAAAAACAAATGATAATAATAGGGAGAGTGAACATACATTCTCTACAACACTTATAAGAAGAGGAGGCCTCTTTGGAAGTTGAGACCGTGATTGATCAAGATCACGAAAGCATCCAGTTCATCTGATGTCCCAGAAACGTATTTCCATGTCACAGCCACCTTTCATGAAAATCCACTCATGCGGAGACAAGAAGGTGCCATACAAGAAAAACAATCATATTTTTATCACTGCATTAGCTCAAAGAAACTAACCACGATCGAAGCTGACCGGACAACATAAAGGCTCCAGAAGCAATGTCACACAGACGGACCTGAACATTTGTGCTCCCAGTGACGATGAGCATGTGCATTGTCGCGATTGGAGACATGGCTTCAGTCTACACTTTTCCAGGCATCTTAAATTCCATGGCGACCTGAGAAAACAGAACAGTGGAAGAACATGCGGGATCACGAAACAGGGTAAGGAAACAGAGAGACTGGTAACTGAAAAATTCCTAACAACTCCGCAGAAGCGAAATCTACCACGACGGCAAGAACCGAATCTCAGGTCCGTTCTTACCTCAACCCAATTTTTTCAACACGCCACAGCTTTAGAGCGATCACAGTCCCCAAATCCACATCGAAATCAGAAACGCACAAAGAATCTGCAAAGGTGGCCGCGAGAGCAGAAATTCCGACACTCACCAGGAATTTGGAGCAACACGCCGTGAGAAGGTCGACCGACGTGGCGGGCGAGACGGCTGGCCGCCTCCTTCCTCGCGGCTGGCCCGGCTAGGGCACGGATTGGGTTCAAGCGCCCTGGTGTTCCCTGGAGGCGCGCCCGGCTGGAGCCCGGTGGCCTGGCGCCCAGCACCCTGGTGGCCTGTCCTCTCCTACAATGCCGCCACGGAGCCGTGGCAGCAGGCTGCGCCGGCAGGCCACGCGCTGCCCCTGCACCCGGCCGCTGCGGCGAGAAGGAATGCCGACGTCGCCTGGGACGATGGGTGGTGGATCGTCTTTCGGGTGGGCGTTGGCCGGAGCGCCGCGTGGAGAAGATGGATTGGTATAATTTGGTGCATCTGTTTCGACGATGTTATATTTTTTTGGGTGTATTTATAGGTGTGGATATAACATAGGTCATGATTATTGTTGGTGTAGAAAGTAACCAACAAATGAATATTTGTAGTTTTGCCGTACGTTGTGATCGGAGGTGGCCTAGCACTCAATGACACAGGGTTTATACTGGTCCAGGTAACGTGCCCTACGTCTAGTTTGAGTCGGTCGGTGACTTTATTCCTGAGCCCAGGTGCTCGAAGTTTGCAGTGGGGTTACAAACGAGAAGAAAAAAGATGGAGGTGTACGAGAGGTCCGGTCAGCTCCGGTCGGAAGGGCCGAGAGCGACAGAAACTCCGCTATGAGATAAGTGTTCAAGCGTGTGTTTGAGGTCCGAACTTGACGGTTCTGTGGTTATGAGCTAGTGAACTTGATCGATCTAATGAATCTGGAATCACTTGAATCGACCTGGCTTAACTTGAATCAACTTAGTCTGTTGGGAGAGAGCACATCCCCTTTTATAGATGAAGGGGGTGGCCTTACAAGTGAGAGGGAGAGAGTACGTATGCTTCTAAACCTTGTTGCCCACGCCGGCAGATACAGGATGATGATAAGCGCCCACAACACTGTTGGATGTCGGATGCATGGGGGAGGTTACGTCGTCTTGTTTCGGGTATGGCAGATGTCGGTACCTACATATATTGTTGATGCCTAGAGGCATGTGAGGAGTTTCACCATGTTCACTCGGTACGGTAAATTCCGGTGCCCATAACACTGTCGATGCCCGGAGACATGTGGGGGGGGCTTACCGTATGGGAGTTAATGTCACCCACAATACTGTAGGTAAAATGTCGGCGCCTACAACACTGTTCGTGTCAGGGCGGTTGCAGAGTACTGTTCCTGTAGGTGTACAGGGTACGGTCCCTGGTATCGTGGTTTGACTTGAGCGCATTGTCTTGCTTTCTCCGTTCGTTCCCTGGTCCTTTCCAGGCGGACGTCCCCGGTCGGTTGGTCCCAGTCGGCTCTGGTTGCGCCAGTCGGAGAAGAGCGGTGAGTAGGGCTTCTGCGTACCCCGGTCGAAAACGTGGGGTCGGAGTCGAAAGTAGTGCTTTGGCCAGACCTTCCGGTCGGAGAGGCCGTCCGGAGGCGGCTGGAGTCGGAGCGAGCGCTCCGGTCGGAGAGGTGGGACGGAGTCGGAAAACGGGTGTCGCTCCTCCTCGGCCAGGCCTTCCGATCGGTGATTGGATTGCCCTCCTGGCCTGTCGTTCCGATACTTGGGCCGGCCCATGAGTTACGCGTTGTCTGCTTAGACCGAGCCTTTGTTGGGAAGCCGGTTCACGAGGGACCCCGGGTTTATGAGCCCGACAACTGTGGAGCAAGCATTTGTTGTGTGAATGTAAATTTATTCTAACTGGTGTATTATAGGGTGGGGTAGATACACCCGAGTTATTTTGTTACAAAAATTAGCGTTGATTGCTGAGCATCTACTGCTACTACGAATCCTTACCGTTTGATTCAATCAAGTTGTTGAAAAATATCAGATTGTCAATGTTTGCCAGTGGCCTGTGTTGTCCACGAAACTCTGTCTTGGACCAACCTATACAGCCCATACAACGCTTGCATCCGTTCATCCATCGACATTCCAGCGTGATTTGACATGACATACTAGGCATTCCATCCTGCTCATCGCAACAATCATGGAGCGTAGCGGTCAGCACTCCTTGCCAATTGCCATATGTTTTGCATGCCAACAATTTTTAAAAAGAATTCTGCATATTTGTTTGAGTATCCTATGATATTTGAATTTGCATTTTTGAGAAGGAAAACGAGTATGGGTATTTTTGAGAGACCACAGACCAGCCCTTGGAACCATGCCAGAACTTAAAGATAATTTGGAACAAAACTTGAATGCTATAAGTACTATATGGTATGTGATGGAGGGAGTAGACCACCCCTTGGAACCACGTCAGAACTTAAAGATAGTTTGTGGAGCTGCTCATCTGTTAGACCTCAAACTCAGAACTAAAAGGTTTGCAGTTCTTTTGCAGTGGATGATGGTTTGCCCCAGCCCAAATGCTGTAGCCTTGTATGCAGGGCCTCAAATGAGTGCATGGTGCGCCTAGCAAGGTGGTCTGAGTTTGGGCCTGGATCAGAAATTGGATGGAAAGTCTTCAGAAAATCATACAGAGCTGAGCTCCAAAATTCATGCCTAACAGGCCCACTCATGTCTGAAATTGAACAAAAATAAAGTTGTTATGTCCGGCTCCCCTCAAAAAAAAAAAAAGGGATCATCGACTGTTCTATCGCCGTCTCACGCATCCGCCATGATCAGACACCGACAACATACTCTATACAGTACATATCTAACCAAAAAGTGTCTAGCGTTGTCACCGGAGATGCTGCTGCCTGTCTCGGGGTCACGTGGCCGAGGCAGATCTCGCGTCGCCACGTGTCCACCACTGCCTATTGGCCATTGCAATGATCCAGCAAAACTTGAACCCCACATCAAGTGCATTGTACAGTTGCGAGCTGTTAGGCGACAGCTTGTGTGGTCTCATGATCCAAGCGACTAGGATAGTGCTCCTACTGTGACCGATGCTGCAGCAGCTCATGTGCTCGTTTCAGTCTCTTACAAGCGGCTACTCGATGACGACGATGATGTGATCTCAACTCTCAACAACCAGAGAATCACACACTTGTTTTCTGTAACACGTTTGCTTTGTTCTGAGTCTACTTGGTCTGGATGACTGGATGTTCCCTGCACTTTGAGTTTCAACTCGTCGTGGCTCTTCTTCTTCAACAGGTCGTGGTTTCACTGCGCTGAACGCAGGCTTCAGATCTGAACGCAAGAACACCACTCCCGCTGAAACCCTACATTCTACGGTGGCGCTAATTGCCAGGAAAGCATCGATTCTGATCTCCGTGGGCGTTCAGTTAAACCAACGAACTCGGTGAATTTCACCAGGTCGCTGTCAGCCGTCAAATTAAGTTTCCAGAGATCTGCCTGTCTGCACCGCACGATCTGTCGGATATTGGTTGCTGCCTGATGACTAAGCATGCAGCAGCAAGTTCCATGATACTTCCTTCCTCGTCACCAGGCAGCTGACAGGGCACTTCATTAGGTGGCAACGCTGCTTAAATTATACTAATGTGCTGCTTTCTGTAGCTGGGCCTGGGGGAAACTACACCGGCAGGCATCTGAAACTTCTCTCTGTTTGCACCCAAGAAACCAACCAGCCATATGATATGTATGTATCATTGCTCGCAGGGTTGTTATACTGTCAACCAAGCAAGTATAAATACCTCAACGAGCTTCGGTCTCGGCAACTCAGGAGCAACCCGTCTCTATCATCGGACCAAAGCCTTCATCCCCCTCTAACCTGTAACAAACAGAGAGCATGGATCACATACTGCATGTACAAGTAGAACACCAGAGCAGCGCGAAGCACTGCAACTGAGGCATTGCGAGGTTCACGAGGAGCGCCGACGCCTCACTTGTCACCTTAGCGCTTGCGGCCATCGCTTTCCTCGCCTTGTTCTTGTCGTCCTTCTCCATGGCCAGCTCGCAAAACTCATCCACTCTACCTGCTCGGCTCCTCGCTGCTGGCAGCATTTTCACCAGCAAGACGGCGCTGTTCGTGCTCTCCAACGTCATCTTCGCCCTCCTGGCCGCCGACTGCCGCTGCTGCTTCGCTGCCACCGCATCAGCAGGCGATGCCGCTTCTTCCGGCGAACCTGGTGGAGTCGTCCTGGAGAAACAAGCACGGCATCATCAGGTGCAGGTGCAGGTGGAGCAATGTACCGTGCTGTTAAGTGTCTCATGTTCAGAAAGTGTTGACCACGATGAACAAGAAGGTGAAGAAGACATGTCAACAATGTCTGCCAACACGTTACCAGATGATGAGGAGCAGCTATCGAAGCTGGAGCTGGTCAGGCTTGGTGAAGAAGAAGACAGCAGCATCAGCTTGGAGGAGACTGTTGATGTCGAGGAACCGACCTGCGAAACAGCTCAAGGGCTGGACAGGTTAGAGATCAGTGAGCTGAACAAGAAATTCGACGAATTCATAAGCAGCAGAAGGATTAAATGGGCAAAGGAGGAGGCTTACTTGCTCTTGTACGAGGTCTGAATTGTTGCAGATAGATGTCATGTAATTCACCCTGGCAACTAACGATTCAGTTCAACTGTGCACTTGGGCTCTCTGCCTTTTTGAAAAATAGAATAAAAACACTATCCAGATGTAACCCTACAATTACGTACCTCCCAGCAACTCTACAGCGCCGGTGTATTGTAATTTGTGGCGTCTACTGATTTTTTTTTTTTTGGACTAATGCAAATCAGAAGCACGCATTGCAAAGACCGGGTCAGCATAATTGACAAACTTCAAATTTAAACCCTATGCTATGCAAACATCAGCACTTTGCGATGCAACCACCACACCAGATTAGGCTGCAATATCACATCCGAGGAACAAAGAATTGTACTTCGCAGTGCAAGTGCAACCATCACAGCAGATCAGGCTGAGATATGCACCTCCACTAACCACATAGATGACCCTCACTCAAAAAGTAGCAAATAAGTAGAATGCAAGGAACAAAGAACGGCAACCAATAGAATCCATTCAGAGAAGAACCAGGAGCTAATCGTCGCAGGCAACCACAGCAGTTTAAGTACCTCCATTGGTTAGATCAGAGGTGCAAAGCATCCTACATTCCCAAAACAGGGCAAGTTACTGAGCAAAGGCATCGGTTAACAACAGTTAACATGGTTACAGTCATTATAGCTAGTGGGCTCGAGCTTCTCAGCCCTCATCCTATACTATGCTTTGATGCTTTGACTTCATCTTGCCAGCATCTTTATTTCCAAATTAGTCCTCGTCTGCCTCCGCTAACTTGACCAGCTCATCAAGAATTATGGACTTCACAGTATCTTTCATTGAAGATACGTCCATCTTGTAGCGCTTATCTGTAACATTTTGTTTGCTAGAATTTAGAACATTAAGCATTGGCTAATTAATTCAAATCCTGATGCATCATATTAAGAGGCTTACCGAGCATCTTAAGAATGTCACTGAAGGTAACCTGGAAAATGAATCAACGAACCAGTTAGATCTATGTGGATCACACTCTATATAAGAAAGATAGTACAAGGTTATGGCAACAAGCAACAAAAGTGGAACTAGTAAGAGGAATATGTCAGCAAAAGCAATGTAAATCTACATTCCAAATGGTGATCTAAGAAGACAACCCAGAAAAGAGGGTAAATCAAAGTTCCAGTCTAACACAGGCTGAAAATACATTTTATACATGCAACTCAGAGTTAAGTCAACTCACAGTAGCTTATAATTCTCTTATGAACCAAGGTTGATTTCATTTATAATAGATGTAGTCCATTATACTATTATAGCTGAATACACATTGCTACTCTGCCTAAACACTGTAACTCACATTGTCAAAGTCGACCTTCTTAAGAAGTTGAACAATAGTTTTTTGCAGTTCATCCTTGCTGGGAAGAGCTTGTTCTGCTTCTGCTGATTTCCCTTTACTTGTTGACCCTTTGCCTAGACAGAGCAGTAGAGCACACCATTAGGGGGTCATTCCACAATCTGAAACCTATGTTTTTATATTATTCCAAACATGTTTTATGTATTTGAATGAATGACATGATACCAGCATAAAGTATTCACAAAACGCAATTTCCATGTTACACATGCCACGTAACAACAGGGAATGATATAGCAAAATATCCGTCCCACTTATGAATCTTGAATGTCAAATCAACAAAGGATACAAACAGCACAAAAGATGAATGTCCAAAGTAACTGCAGGTTATAAATGTAAGAATAAAACCAGAAGGTAAATTTTAAACTATATTATAAAAATCACTAGTCTCGCCATCTTTCTGACAAAAAATATCAATTAATCTACTGTGTATTCTCACAGATACAGAAAAACATATAGCTCTTGATCATAATTCATCATAACACAACAATTAGAAAGTTCAGAATAGCAAGCAGAAATATTGCATCTATAAGCAATGTATCAAAGGAAAGCATGATTTATGGTATCATGGATATTACCATACAGTGGACTAATCAGTGAAGTGATAATCGTACCTGATGATCTTCTTTCATTGGTCTCTTTTTTCAGAATTTGTTGTGTGCTTTGGTGTAATGGGTTTACTCTTTCTAGAGACAACGCTTAAATCCACAGCAGACCTCTGCTTATCCTTAGAACTTTTCGGCGATGATGAAACTCTGCTCGAACACTTGCTCAATGTAGCTATAGGAGCTGTATTTGGAGAAATCCCTGTGATCGCCTTCCTTTTAGTTTTAGCTGTAGATCCTTTTCCATCTACAGACTTCTTACCTGCCTTTACTTTTCGCCGGCCATATCTATCTTCCTGCTCACTATCAACTTCTTCACCATCATCTTTGTTTTCCTCACTATCAGACTTCATGTGATCATCCTCTTCATGCCCTTCTTCAGCATCTTCATCAGATTCTGACTCGGAATATTTTTGCCACCTTTTACGTGAAGTATGTTCATCATCAAGTTTCTGGTGTCACACAAAAAAGGGCAAATAAGAGCGAGTCACAAAAAGGGTGATAGCTATGGTAACAGATATCAGTGATCATTACAATTTGGAATTATCAAGTATCTGGCTGTACAGCAGCAATTGCACATGTGAAACTTCCATGCAATATGAAACAAAATAGAAATTAACAGAAGGTAAATATGTAAATCTTGTTTCAAGTTAATGGCAAAGAACTGTGATTAGATAGATTGTGTCAGACCAAAACAAGATGTTACCTTCCTAGGTCTCTTGTGTGTGCCTTCTGGATTCTTAGTTGCACTGCCCACCTCTCGTTTGCGCTTCCTAGAATTTGATCCCTGCACAGTACAGAAGTGTAAAACATGGAGATAAGAAAAGGAAGAAACACTGAAGCAAACTTTCTGTTCATTGTTGTTGTAATCCATAAATAAATCTCAGAAAGTGCATACCCATTGTATGCCACAGATTTTACCTGATCATCAGAAAGTGTAGAATCATCCTTAGCGTGGGGCTCAGCAATGAAATCCAGCAGCTTCGCCACAATGTCATCCTGCATGGGTAACTCAGTTACAGAAAAAAACGAAATTGCATCATGCTGCACTCGGATTCAAGTTAAGTAAGCAAGATAAAAGATATTCATCAACCTTTCTACTATTTACCCTTGAAACTGGAATAACAAGCAGATTGCAGAGATCCAATAATGTTTCTATCGAACATTTGTCAAGCTTCTCCTTGGCCTTGGCTCTATGCTTTTCCTACAAGAAAGAGAGCCGCCAAAGTTAAAATAATAATCTCAGATAAATAGCGCAACTACCAATCTTTGAAATTTTGGGGAAAAAACAATGATGCTTACATCACTCTCATGCCACAGAAATCCAGAGAACTCAAGTATATGGCTTTTGAAATCAACAGCCTGTAACAATTTGTCGGGATAAGTATATTTAAAAGAATCTTGGAATGAAGCTTTGGCATCAATGACAATTTGTGCAGAGTTCAACTGTGATAAAACAACAAACGAAAAACACAAGAATTCAACTTGAAGCAAGTAATCCCTCTGTATATAAATGTACACTGGTTTTTGGGAATCTAGTTTAGGTTCAGCTGGTTTTGGGGACTCTAGTTTCAGTTCAGCTGGTTCACATGCCTGGACCTTCTTTTTAACAAAATGTATACCAAGAGGCTACTAATTGCATCTAATTTATATCCCAGACTTCCAATTTTCAAAGGTAGCCTCAGAACTTGAAATTTTACAAGTGTTTCGGTCAAAAGCCAGAAGCAGTGAGCCAGTGACAAAACCAAACCCCAGAAAAAAGACTAATAAGGTGTATCTGCCAACATGTAAAGTAAAAAAAAACACGTTTAATCACTTTGTTCATCCTGAAAGTACTCCCTTTATTAGCAACAATGTTATCAAATCGTCTAATCGATCCTAGTCACCATGGCACCGATCAGCCCGGCTAATGGTGACTAATTGTGATTAATCACGACTAATCATGACTAATCGTAGTGCATAGCTGATCATCATGTCACTGGTCAGCCTGACTAATCGTGAGTCAGACAACTTGATAACATTGATTAGCAAGACCAGTTTAGACAGGCTAGAACTTCTATTTGGTTTCATAACACCAAAGTTTAAAGCAGCTTAAACTAAGCTTATCAAAGGAAGTAAGATGCTAGTCTAAAACAGATTGTTACATATGATTAAACCTATGGAAGCTTTAAGTTCAAGTGAAAGCCTACAAATAGGTATATCAACGTAGCAAAGTTCCAGATTTCCTGCAGATATTTTCATTATGTGCGCCTTGGTCCTAAAGCATGAACTATACAAGTTACTGAGAATGTCACTTAGGCCAGGTGAATTATGTATTCATGGTCCACCGACATGGAATCGTTTAATATAAGAACATATTCTTTCCAAAGATCTACCATGACTTCGTCAGAGATTTTACTATGTTTTTAACTGTCCCAGATGAAATAATTAACTGAAGTCTAGAAAAATCCCACAACAGAAATCTGCATGAGTCATTTTAAAAGCGCAACATTTATATTTTAAATTACCTTTCCCAACCTCCCAAAAAGGATTTGATGGAGAAGCTTAAGCTCGGAAGGTTGTTTATTTGATATTCTCTTCGCAACTGCAAAATATTCAAATCTGAATCAGCAGAGTATATACTGATCAACACTTGTAGAAAGAATTGATGTTGCGAGTCATTGAACTGCAGAATCAGTACTGCAACATTGAGATAATGCAACACTGCAACATGCAAAAATTCTGCCAGGGCACTAACAATATAGAAACTTCAATTCTGAGAAAGCGCAAGGTGCAGTTTCAAAACAGGAAACTGACATAGAGTCAATCGAAGTCAAAGATACAAAAATATAAGAGTCACACCACACCAGTCTCGAATACTTTGAAATCAGGATATCAATAACTTCTATATTAGTTTGGAAACAAGAAAGTCACAAGTGTAGATTTGTCTTCAAAGATACTTTCATAATCTCATCCTGGGTTTTACGCATATATTCTGAAAAGATGGTGGCTGTCAAAGGCATACTTAGAGATTGTGTTAGGACAGGAGGGAGTATAGGTTACCATGCCATGTGAACAAAATCGTTTGTTTCCTAATCAGATTAAAGCCATGAAGTTGTAATTGTTAAGAAAATAGCAGGCACCAAAAAATATAGAAGATGGAAACCCCTGGAGATACACATTTTAACAGGGCTACTGGTTTCGCCAAGAATCATATTACTTCATAACATACTATACCACAATATATAGTTAAAAAAAGATAGCATTATGAGGTCATCTTAGGTTTAATGTACCAAAAACATATTTATATGCCTCAGGTGAGATTGTAAGGGTGCAAAATGCAGTGTTTACGAAAGCAAAAATAGAAAGATATTGCGACAGAGTTCCGCACCGCCAGGTATATTCTTCAAAGGTGTGCCACGGCCCTGCATTGACATGTTTAAAAAGCATTATGAAAGGGCACAGTATGACAACGGAATCAAATAGGAAAAGATGTCTGTGAGGATATAACCTTCTCAACAATAAGCGGCTCCTTCTCAATCACTTCAACCAACCTCTCCACTGTTTTCCTGGCACGCACCGGACGATCAAGAGAATAAGGACTTGGGGTATTCAGCAAGTTCTTGGCTTCCCTAGACCTAGAACCATCTTGTTTCTTATCCTTTCCATGGTCCTTTTCTAAAACAATCCTTGCCTTCTTGCTCTTTGGTTCTCCATTCTTATTCTCTTCCACGTTCTTGTCTGACTCGCCACCTTGTTCCACTGTCGCCTCGCCATCCTTCTCTTTTTTATTAGACACGCTTCCATTTTCTGCCTCTTCTATGTCAGCATTTGCTCTTTTGGTCCCTTTATTTTGTCCCTCGTGTTTACATATATCATCTATTTGATTATCTTTCTTTCCCTCTTGTTTATCAGCAGTAGTGTTTCCCTTTGTTTCCATTTCCTCATCCTTCTCAGAAACTCCCCTTTCGATCACACCCACTTCATTCTTCTCAGAAGTTACGTTTTCGTTCACTTCCTCTTCCTCTTCCTCTTCCTCTTCCTCTTCCTTCTCAGCAGCCACTTTTCCATCATGTGTTTTGTCCTTTTCCTCAGCAGTCAGCTTGGCATCTTGTTTCTCTTCCTCTTTCTTCTCAGCAGCCACATTTCCATCCCATTTCTCTCCCTCTTGCTCCTCAGCAGCTCCCTCTTGTTCATTTTTTGCTGCCTCATCCTTGCCAGAAAGAACTCTTTCTACCTCTTCCAATCCGTCCTGCTTCTCCTTGGTATTTTGTTCTCTATCATCCACTTCTCGCTTGCCCACATTACCTTTTGCCTCCCCTTTCAATTCCTGCTGACTCTCCTCGACACTTTCTTCTCTATCACTCACTTCATGCTTATCAAAACCACTTTTTTCTTCCTCTTTCAACCCATCCTGCATTTCCACGCCAATCTGTTCTCTATTGTCCAGTTCTAGTTTATCTACTTCTGCTGGCGCCATCTTATCTTCGTCTTGTTTCTCCATGCATATGATTTGTTTCTCTTCAGTCTCGTTCCCACCTTCTTCCTTCTGTCCATTTTCTTTAACCTCTGCATGTACAGCCGCAGACTTTGATTCAGCCATCATAGTTTCCCCGCCTTCTGCTGCCTTGGCGCCGTGACTATCCTCAGTCTTTCTTTCCTTGTCTTCCTTCCGACATGCATCTTCCTTGTCGGCAATTTTCACATCATCAGCTTGAACATTGACAACATTTTCCTTTCCTTCATTATGCTCCTCCTTTGTTTCCTTCCTCTCATTTTCCTTTACCGCTGCATTTCCAGCATCACTCTTTGCTTCAACCGTCTTGATGTCCTCACATTCTGCTGGGTTGGCATCCTGACTATCATCATTTTTTCTCACCTTATCTTCTGTCTGACATGCATTTTCCCTGTCAACAATAATCACATTCTCGGCTTCAATATTGGCATCATTTTTCTTCTGTTCAGCCTTGAACTCCACTTCTCCATTTTTCCTACTTTCTATTACCTCTGCAATTTCAGCATCAGTCTTTCCTTCAACACTCCTCATGTCCTCACCATCTGCTGCCTTGCCATCTTGAATACCCTCGTTCTTTAAATTTTTATCTTCCTCTTCACATGTATATTCCTTGTCAGGCACTTTTAACTCGGTTTCAAGACTGGCATTATTTTTCTTCTCTTCAGTCCGGCCAGCTTTGTCTTCCTTCTTCTCATTTCCTTCTACCTCAGCATTTCCATCAGTCTTTGCTTCAACCATCTTGATTTCATCACCTTCTGATGCCCTGGCATCTTGCCTATCCTCATTATTTCCCTCCTTGACTTTCTTCTGGCATGCATCTTCGTTGCCAAAAGTTTTCACATCATCTTCAACATTGGCATTGTTTCCCTTCTCTTCCATCTTGTCCTCCATTTCTTCCTTCTTCCCATTTCCTTGAGCCCCTGCATTTCTAGCATCAACCTTTGCTTCGACCATGTTCATTTCGTCAGCTTCAGCTACCTTGGCATCCTGACTGTCCTCATTCATTCCCTCCTTATCTTCCTTTTGACACACATCTTCCTTCTCAGCCATTTCAATGCCATTGGCATGATTTGTCTTCTCTTCTGCATTGCCTTCCTTTTCTGGCTTCCTATTTTCTTGTGCCTCGGAATTCCTAGTATCAGCCTTTGCTTCAATCATCTTGGTGTCCTCACCTTCTGATGCCTTGGCATACTGATTATCGCCATTCAGTCCCTCCTTAACTTGACACGCATCTTCCCCAGCATCAATATTGGCTTCATGCTGTGTGTCAACCATTTTCACATCCTTAGCTTCAATGTTGGCTTCGTGTTGCGTATCAACCATTTTCACAACCTCAACGTCAATAACGGCTTCATGTTTTGTGTCAACCATTTTCACATCCTCAACTTCAATATTGGCTTCATGCTTTGTCTCGACCATTTTAACATCCACAACTTCAATATTTGCTCCATGCTGGGTCTCAACCATTTTAACATCCACAGCTTCAATACTGACTTCATGCTGTGTCTCGACAATTCTAACATCCACAGCTTCAAGACTGGCTTCATGCTGTGTCTCGATCATTTTAACATCCACATCTTCAATATTGGCTTCACGCTGTGTCTCAACCATTTTAACATCCACAGCTTCAATTATGGCTTCATGCCGTGTGTCAACCATTTTAACATCCACAGCGCCAACCACATTAGCAGAACCTGAATTGGCTTCGTTGGTATCATCGGTCTCCACAATATTTGCGCCCTCATCAGCCGCGCGCTCTGTGCCAATTTCACAGCCACTCTTCACTTCATAGGCATCATTGCTAGTCACCGCCACTTCCCTCCTCTCTTCAGAGCCATACTTCTCAGCATCATTCTTATCTGAAACAGCAGATTCTCCATTCGCCAATGGAGGTGGATCCTCTGCTGCTGTTGCTGGGTTTTCCCCGGACATCTTGATTGGTCACAATCCTCTATCTGCTCCAGGAAAATGCAGAAAAATGTCATCAAAAGTGTAAGCAATGGAAAACACACACACATTGTCAAATGTTAAAAGGGGAAAGAAAAAGCTTTACAGAAAAGAACTGTGTATGGGTTACAACTCCAATACAAAAAGGTATATACTGTAAAACATAATAAGGAGTGTAAAACCATAAGAAAGGCCGTGCATTGTCTTGATTAACCGCAAAGAATGCTAAATGTTTCCAAAATCATCAAATGATTAACCAGACTCCCCGATAGGTAAGTATGAATTGGCCAAAGTTTACAACTTGATTACTTTTTAATGCATGATACAGATCGGCTAAACCATTGAGCACGAACACCATCGTACGTGTAAGCATAATGAAATAATGAATGCATAAGCTTGTAAGTACTAGATCGGATCCGAACACAAACATCCAGATAGCTTCAAGCTAGGGTTCGGGTGCTCGGTTTCGCACAGTAGAAAGGGAAGAGAAGGGGTGCCGTGCCGATACCTGGTGGCTGCTCGTCGCCGGCAAAGCGCCGGGACCAGGGCACCTGCCGTAGGGCTGCGGCGGCGGTCCCCCGGTTGTCGGCGACGAGAGAGCGAGCGCGCGCTCCTCCCGCGAGGTTGGTGAACGGGGAACGAAACGGCAGGTGTGAGCAGTCGGGGTTTTCTGGGGGCTCGGGGGTTCTTTGCCTTGGCCAGGAGCCGGCATGGGCGTGTTTTCGTTCATTGGTTGGTGCCGGCCAGGCACGTGAGACGTGACGCATCACGCACGTCCATCCCGTCCAAAATCAGACGCGAGCCAGGTTTATCTCAAAGCAAACAAGCCCGAAGGGGCTGTTTGGTTGCCCCGAGCAAATTTAAACAAGCACGCACAGGTATCACGTCTGATTAAAAAAAAACTCACACACGTCTGATTTTAGACACCTGGATCAGAATTGATGTGGCTGACAGAGAGCTTGTTTAGGAGGCCGTAAATCAAACAAGCACTCGGGCTTTTAGTTTGCGCCTTTGCGACCTGCCAAACCACTTCTCCCACGGAGAAATCTTAACAGTCAGACGACCAAAACTCGATGGCTTACGACATTTGCTTAGCAGGTAAAGCTGCATGGACGTGAAACCAAACACGCTTAAATGCTAACTAATCATTTGTTGTATTTCTTTGGTCTGTTCGCTTAAATTTATTAGCCGGCTTATCAACTAGAATCTATAATATTTTTTTCTCACAACAAAACAGCTTCAGAACAGATCCAAGGTCTAGACCTAATCCTAGGCCCCTCTCCCTAACCCTAACCCAAAAAAAACAATCCCTGTCGAATCTAAATGTGACATCAGGATATATTTTTAGACCTATATAATAATTTTCAAGTTAGGTTTTTTGAGAAACATGTGGCTTTTTTTTTTGTTTCTACTAGCATAGCATCTCCACCGTTACCCCCAAGCCAAATGGACATGGATAAGCGCATGGGGCGTAGCGCGCAACCTCCAAGCCACGCGCGCATAACTCAGAGTTTCAGACACACGCCGCTGCCCCAGCCACACACACGCCCGGGACCCACTTCCGGCCTGCTATGCTAACGTCAGTCTGACGCAAAACAAAAAATCAAAATATTTTTTTTGATGGCTATAATTTTTGAACGACCTATCCGTTTTTAATTCCGTTTGCACCGGTACATTCTACGTGACGAGGCGAATAAAACTAGACTCCAGTTGCATATGTTTCAAAGAATGTTATTTTAATATCAATTTATGTGTAAAAATATGCTATGAGATTTATGAAATAAGTTGCTACCATGTAATACTAAACTTGCTACTCTAAAAATAAACTAAAGTTTTTACGTGGTATGCACATCAATTGTTACTATCAGAATATAATAAATTTATTATATAGTATTTGTATAAAGGTACTGACCCCTAAACAGAGTAGCGGACTAAAATAAGACAAACTGCAACATGATGGGACAAATTATTAAAATAAACATTGCATAAGCTGCTAATTAGGGAGACAAATTATATATTACTAGTTCAAAAACGTTCAGAGACCAGTTATTAAATTACTACTTGATTTGTGTAAATTGTTTGATTATTATTACTACTTGATTACGCCAATTATAGTAAAAAAGATCCGGTTTACTGAATTTTAGAGAAAAAATAATATTTAATTTTGATTATTTACATTTATGGTTAATTATAGGTGAATTACGGTTAGAACTGACGATCGGCAAGGATCACAGGCTTGTACCCATCCTTTTGCGGTTGCACGATCTCCTTTCTGTTTGCGGGCATTACGGTCATAGGCTACGGTCAGCGATAAACAAATCAGAAATCAGTTGCCTTTTACGGTTGTAAAGTAATAATAGTAGTAGACACCCCTCCATGCAACTACTAAATCTCCGGATGCAGGATTCCCGCAAAGCTCGTCACAAGCAAATGCTTGCGGGTTCGTGGCTGTCCGCCAACTAAATTATGTAGCTACCAAAAGTTTTGTGGGCTTTGCGGCAGCAAACGTTAGCCCGCGTATACCCGCACGCTGCATAACCACGCACGTGATAGCTAGCTTGGTTACCCCGTACTGGGCAGTCACTGACTATAGTTACCGACTTGCCGTAGCCTTCCTCCATTGTTCATGCCAGTCAATACCGAACAGGGATTGTTGCCGCAATTTTTTTTTTTTAAATGTTGCCACAAATTTAAAAAGAACTAGAACGAAACATGAGTATTGTTGCCGCTAATTGTTGCTCTGATTGCTAGAAGCTAATCTGCACATTCTACAGCTATAGGAAATGGCAGCCGTATGAATTATCAAATAGCTGTCCCATACAAGCATTTTCACAAACATCTGGAGAGTATGTATATCGACTGACTCAAGGTTGTAGTACTTACTGAACTAAAAAAAGGTGGAACTAATTGCCGGACCACAAAGCTGCAAGAACTACAAGCTGTATACATCCTCCAGAAGCTAGCGCCTGAATCTGCGTGGCGGCCATGTCGCCCCCAATCCTCCCTTGCCTCCTCTTCCTCAACCGTGGCCATGTCGCCGGCGCCTGGCATGGCTGCAAACACACTTTCCATCTGTGAGGACTTGGAGATAGAGCGTGTAGAGGAGACGGCGGGGGGAGGAGTGCGACACCAACGAGGCGACGATGGAGGTGGCTGCGGTAGGGGATGGGGTCGGGAGAAACAACGGAGTTCTTGTGGCCTTGCGGGTTCTTAGCGGGTTTATCGTGTTGTCCAGTGGGCTCGGTGGACATAAAGATGTTAGGCCACAGGAAATTTGCTACTTAACCGCATTGTTCATGGACGTTGATTTTGCGGGGCGGGTTGATGGACGACGTTAACAACCCGCTCCGTCTGCATTCCTAACTAAATCTATAAACGTTCAGAGCCCTTGATTTGTGTAAATTACTTGATTTATGTAAATTGCTGGATAATTACTACCTACTAGTATAATATCCGTCCTAACGCCGTAGCTTTATCTTAGGGATCCACGTGAAAACAACCGATGATTTTTTTTCATAGTTCAACTTTTACACAATTATATTTGAGCATGTTTACAATCCGAGAAACACTTTTGCATAAGAAGGCATAGTAAAGTTATTTCTCATATTAATATTAACCATCTAAGTTACATTCTGCCTAATCCTTAATCATGACTTGGAGATCTTTAGGGAAGCTGTCAAAACATTCGTTTGCACGGCTCTTCAAAATGTCCGCCAAGAATTCCATCCTCAGTGAAGTTGATAGCTGTACATGACAGATAATAAGCTAAATTATTAATTTTCTCGTCGTAACAACTCCTAACACCTGTCATTCATAAAAAGTACCCATCAGTAAAACACGCAAAAGAGCAAGCAATGGCAGCGGCGGTCCTGGTGCTGCAGGCCGGGCATCCAGCAGGCGCCCGCCTCCACCATAAATCAAGTAGTGTAGTCCTAAAAATTATGGACCAGTCTAAAAATAGTTTTTCAGTAGTGTATAATGATTAGATTAGTATTAGCAATTGTTTATAGCTAAACTCTAAGACATGAAAGTCATCAGGGATCAGAAAACTCACATAACCATGAGAGATGGCAGCTGTGAAAAGACATCAGGAAATGAGCCCTCCAACTTATTGTGTGATAAATCCCTGAAAATATATCAAAATTCAGAAATACAAATTTATCTTCACCGACTAAAATTCACTGCAGAATTAACGTGACTGAAAACATGTAGTTACAAATACTTGAGTGCTTTGAGTTTGGCAAAGTAAAATGATACATCTCCGTTCAACCCGCTGAATGAAAGGTGTCTGTGTAAACATCCAAAAGTTTAGATGTCATAATTCAGACGAAAGTGCTATTTATACTGAAAGCATACCTGTGATGTTGGTGATATCGCTTAGTGCATCGTGTGTATCTCCGGGCGTAGACATTGCGAAGTACCAGCGAGGATCTTCAGCCGACAGTAGCGGCGGGCAGGGGCAGCAGGGTTTCCTCCAAGATAAGATAACTGGGTACAGATTTAAGTGAATATTTGGTTTGGCACAGAACTAATTTGACATTATGTGTCAAATACAAATTTAATAGACTCGTAAATTGGCATACCTTGCATCAAAATTAAGCCAGAAATATATGTTATCTGTGTTAGCTATAAGTTGTGCTAGTAACTGAATCTGTAACAAGAGTACCAGACAAAGCACATGACTAGAACTTCAAAGTATGAAAGTCAAGGACGACCACATAGTAGGATCTTAAAAACATGCAAGGAAGGTATATCTTTTTCCTCTTTCCTTCTACTTATTTTTGTTTTATATAGACAGACCCCAAAAGTGAGTCCTGATATGTAGCTCAAGCATTCATCATAGTCATGCAATGAAATTTAGAACAATTAGAACAAACCAGGAATATTGACCATGGGATAGTTACTCTTGTCCCATCTGAATACTGAACTTTTGGTTTCGGTAAATTGAGTTGTATACAGAATTCTATAGTACCTCAGTTCACAAA